GGCTGGACCTCATTTTCTTGATCTTTAAAGAACTGGGAAAGACTACCTTCATTATGTTGTTCTGAAACTAAAAAGCAAAATGAACACAATGAAAAAATATATGAAAATACTTTATAAACTATAATATAAGGCAATAATGAAACAAAAACTTATTATTTAAACATATAAGCGAAACAAATCCTTCAGTGTGTCCCCATCGCCAGCTTCAGGCTCTCCACGACATAACTAACCCGTTTTAATCAGGGCAAACCAGATTTCAACACACAGATTCTAACATTCTAAATTTGACTTTGCCTCCTGATACTCATAAGGGACTGTTTGTCCCTTTCCACCTCAGCTGCACCACAGCCCAGTAGTTACTCCAAAAACTCTCGTTATAAAGGCTAACTGTGCTACATGGCCTTCCCTTAAACTACTGAAGCAAAGAAATGCAGGCTGTTGACTGAATCACCACGATTAATCTTCAACATGTTTCCTTTCCAGATAAACGGTTATCATGTATAAAATACACATTATATGCTTATTAGTGGAAAATTTTCTTATGTGAATCAGCAATTCAAAATGTCCTAAATCAAGCAATACTAATGCCCTAATTGGAAGTCCTCAAAATTCAGTATGGTCTTTGATTTTAAGAAAGCCTGGATTCTCATAATAGTATTTTTCAAGGTGACTGAATATTTCACTCATTCCACAGGGGAATGTCTTCATGAATGTTCAGTGAAATATTCACTTATTCTAGCCAAATAAACCACCCATTTTAAAAGGCTGTTGGTATTTGGATAGCTGTCTAAAATTGGTTTACTTACTTCATACATTACCTAGACAAGAAAGCAATTTCGTAAGCAGAAACAGATATCCTATATAAACAAAGAAGCTTTCAAAATACTAAAGGTCTCCAAGGTTTAAAAATAAGTACAGTCATAGAAAATGTCACGTTTTATGAAAAAGTTTTACTTTATTTTGTAAAAAGTAATGTTTTGAGGATATTTACCTTACTCTTTCAAAGCAATGCAAGTGCAATGATAGGCATTGAATAAAAAGTACCCTGCTTTATCAACTTATTTTTAACACACTGAAGGCATACTGCTCTCTGAAGGCAGAAATATGTGATCCAATTATAAACATAACATGTTAAGAATAAACATATACAACTGAATAGCTGTGAAAAAATAGAGGATTAATCAAAATATTTTGTCTAAAAATATTAAGTTCAAGTTATGGGGAAATTTACACATAAAAAACCATATTGTATAATCAGAATGACACTTCAATGGTCATTTCTGAAAAACAAATATTAACTGTAGTTAAAAAGTTAAACTTTTAACTTCTCTTTTTCAGAATACTTTCAAAACTTCACTATTCAAATTAAAATAAAATATTTTAACAATTCTTTCTGAAGACATGTTATATAGTTCTCATCCCAAGAAATCTCCTTGTGACCTATAAATAAATCCGCTAATGGAAAAGAGTGAGAAAAGCTAATCTAGGAGAGAAAATCACTCAATTGAGTGAGAGTCAAAGTGTGATCTCAAACCCCCATCTTCTCTCCTCCAACCTCCCTTTCCAACGTGCCTTTGGAGACGGAGAGGCACCTGTGGGCAGTGCACCCTGAGCTACCTTCTCTGCAACCTCTCAGGCTGTGGGAGAGCACTAACCCCACCCCTCTCCTTCCCCAGACCCCACTCCCATCCCTGGGCTGCAGTGAGTGTCTACAAAAGTGCCTCAAGTCTGTAATTATTTCGGCAACAACGTGGACTTTTCTAGTGGTGATTTTGCTGTGCTGTGCTGTGGCCTTAATACCAATGAACCATGAAAAAAACAAATTAAAAACCTGAAATTCAAACTGTCCCTAGACAAATAATCATTTAAAAGCTGGGAGAATGAGAAGTAAATACAGGCCCAACCACTTAGTCTCGCCGCTCCGTTCCTGCCCGAATGGCTCGCTTGTCCCGTAATCACCCCACAGAAGAACCAAGCGTCACCTCTCCTCCGTCGAAAGCACGCGGCCTGGAGGCTCCGGAAGGCAAACAAGGCGTCGTGAGTCCACCGTCGCCGTCAGTCAGTCTTGTCCGGCCAGTTTTCAGTACTATCGCCCAAGGCGCCGGGGATTCTGGGGGGCGGCGGGGGCGCTGCGGGCCGGGCTGCAGTGCCCAGCGGGGTCCGCTTCAGCTTGATCACTCGGTGCGGGGTGGCCCTCTTGTCCGCGAGCAGAACCTTGGCCGGAGGTGGGTGCGCGGCTCCGTTTTCAGCACTCGCGGACCCAGGGGAAGCCTGGGAATGCCCGGGCCCCGCAGTGCCCACCGCGGCAGGGGCCGGGGACGGTGCGGGGCGGTGCGCTGCCTTCGCGCCGGGAGCCCGGTTCCCGGGCGCCCGGGACCAGGCCTGGGGGGTTCTGGCTGGAGTGACCCGGACTGAAGCCGAGTTCTTGACTTTAATTTGGGTGCTGGTGGAAGGGCCCACAAATCGGACAGGCTTAGGACCAGTCTTACAGTTCACGCCTTCCTCCGCCTCTTCACTGAACGCCATCAGTCGCCTGTAAGTACAGAAGTCACTGTCAGCATTTAGACGGTCAGTAACTAATGCAAACGTCCCCAAAGTTTACCGTCGGGGCAATTAAAAGGTTTTCCTCAAGAATTTGAGTCAAGAGATTTAGAGGTATCAACCTCCCTCATCTCTCATCTCCCACCAAGGTCAGTAAGTAAATTACCAAGTTTATAAAAGATTGTTGCAATTTGCATACAAACTCTTTTAAAAGCACACAATGTTAATCCCAACAAGTTAAAAGTTGGAGTGTTACACTAGAATTATACAGCATATCACTCTGTTCCCAAGAAAGCTCATGTGACCCAGAGGATAACCAGGAAAATCCCAGGTCGTTTTTCCCGCAACAGCAGCTTCAAGACATTTACTGAGGAAAAAAGGGTTTCACACTCAAATAAACTTGAGAAACATTACTGCATATTTTATTCTCCTCTTGAAGCTTTAAAAGCTATATCAACAAATTAGAGGTTCTGAGAAGGCCTATAGGAGACACCTGTTTCACTTTGTGAGCCCCATATTTCCCAATCATTCTGTAATGCAGCCTTTGGCACCCAGTAACATTAGCATTCTATGGAACACACTTTGGGAACTGCTAGAATGGTCAAACCTACCGTATAGTTAGATGCTTTTTGAATTTGAGAAGTCTTGGACAAACCTTCAAAGATTCCTGAACTGTTTGCCATTCATTATAAAAAGCCTAAAGTGGGGGGCCGGCCTTGTGGCTTAGCAGTTAAGTGTGCGCACTCCGCTACTGGCGGCCCGGGTTCGGATCCTGGGGCCTACGGACGCACCGCCTGTCCGGCCACGCTGAGGCCGTGTCCCACATACAGCAACTAGCAGGATGTGCAACTATGACATACAACCATCTACTGGGGCTTTGGGGAGAAAAAGGGAAGAGAAGGAGGAGGACTGGCAATAGATGTTAGCTCAGGGCTGATCTTCCTCACAAAAAAAAATAAAGTTTTAAAAAAAGCCTAAAGGGGGAACGTTGTTTATTTTTTTTCAATTTATTTAAACTAAAAAAAAAATTGTTGGTCTATTTCTCCAACCACCCCCAACCCCCTGCCTCTGGAAACCACCAATCTGTTCTCTGTATCTATGAGCTTGGTTTTGTGTTTTTTTTTTTTAGATTTCATATATCAGAGAGATCGGAGATCACATGGTATTTGTCTTTCTCTGTCTGACTTATTTCACTTAGCATAATGCCCTCAAAGTCCATCCATGTTGTCACAAACGGCAAGATTTCACTTTTTTATGGCTATATATATATATACACCCACACACATATATATATCACAATCTCTTTATCTCTTTACCATCCATTGATGGATACTTAGGTTGTTTCCATATCTTGGCTATTGTAAATAATGCTGCAATGAACACTGGGGTGCATATATCTTTTTTGAGATAGTGTTTTCATTTTCTTTGGATAAATACCCAGAAGTGGAATTGCTGGATCATATGGTAGTTCTACTTGTCATTTTTTTTTTTTTTTGCTGAGGAAGATTGGCCCTGAGCTAACATCTGTTGCCAATGAGGAAGATTGTTGTCCCTGAGCTAACATCTGTGCCAATCCTTCTCTATTTTGTATGTGGCACACCGCCACAGTATGGCTTGATGAGCAGTGTGTAGGTCCACACCCAGGATCCAAACCTGCGAACGCTGGGCCGCCGAAGCAGAGCACACAAACTTAACCACTATGCCACTAGACCGGCCCCAAACTTCTAATTTTTCTAAGAACCTCCATACTGTTTTCCACAGTAGCTATACCAATTTGCATTCCCACCCACAGTACACAAAGGTTCCCTTTTGTCTACATCCTCACCAACACTCATTTCCTGTTTTTTTGATAATAACCATTCTAACAGGTATGAGGTGATACCTCACGTGGTTTGGAGGCATTTTCCTGATGATTAATGATGTTGAGCATCTTGAATGCACCTATGGGCCACCTGTCAATGGAATTCCAATCTGTCTTCTTTGGAAAAATTTCTATTCAGATTCTCTGCCCATTTTTTAATAGGATTGTTTGTTTTCTTTACTGTTGAGTTGTATGAGTACTTTATGTATATTTTAGATATTAGCCCCTTATCAGATATATGATTTGCACATATTTTCTCCCATTCAATAGGGTGCCTTTTCATTTTGTTGACTATCTCCTTTGCTGTGCAGAAGCTTTTCAGTTTGATGTTGTCTCACTTTTTTATTTTTGCTTTTGTTGCCTTTGCTTTTGGTGTCAAATCCAAAAAAAAAATCACTGCCAAGACTTATGTCAAGGAGCTTACCACCTCTGTTTTCTTCTAGGACTTTTATGGTTTCAGGTCTTATGAGTTAATTTTTGTGTATGGTGTAAGATAGTGGTCCAATTTTCCCAACACCATTTAGTGAAGAGACTGTCCTTTCCCCATTGTATATTCTTGGCTCCTTTGTCATAAATTAGTTGACCATATATGCATGGGTTTATTTCTGGGCTCGCTATTCAGTTCCATTGATCCATATGTCTGTTTTTGTGCCAATACCATACTGTTTTGATTACTAGGGATTTGTAATATAGTTTGAAATCAGGGAGCATGATGCCTCCAGCTTTGTTCTTCTTTCTCAAGACTGCTTTGGCTATTTGGGATCTTTTGTGGTTCCATACAAATTTTAGGATTGTTTGTTCTACTGCTGTGAAAAATGCCATTGGAATTTTGATAGGGATTGCATTGAATCTGTATATTGCTTTGGGTGTTAAAACATTTTAGCAATATTAATTCTTTGAATCCATGAGCATGGAATATTTTTCCATTTATTTGTGTCTTCTTCAATTTCTTTCATGTTTTGTTGTTTTCAATATACAGGTTTTTCACCTCCTTGGTTAAATTTATCCCTACGTATTTTATTCTTTTTTATGCAATTGTAAATAGGATTGTTTTCTTAATTTCTCTTTCTAACAGTTCATTATTAGTATATATAAACACAACAGATTTTTTGTGTATTGATTTTGTATCCTGCAACTTTATGGAATTCATTTATGGAGTTCGAACGGTTTTCTGATGGAGTCTTTAGGGTTTTCTATATATAATAACATGTCATCTGCAAATAAGAACAGTCTTACTTCTTCCTTTCCAATTTGGATGCCTTTTATTTCTTTTTCTTGCCTAATTGTTCTGGCTAAGACTTCCAACACTATGTTGAATAAAAGTGATAAGAGTGAGCATCCTTGTCTTGTTCCTGATCTTAAAAGAAAAGCTATCAGCTTTTCACCATTGAGGATGATGTTAGCTGTGGGCTTGTCATATATGGCCTTATTATGTTGAGGTACATTCCCTCTATACCCTCTTCGTTAAGAGTTTTTATCATAAATGGATGTTGAATTTTGTCAAATGCTTTTTCTGCATACACTGAGATGATCATATGATTTTTTGATATGATATGATAGACTGCTTCCAGTTCAAGATGGCAATGTAGGAAGATCCTGAACTCACCTCCTCCCATGGACACACTGAGTCTCAGCTACATATGGAACAACTTCCTCCTTAAAAAACCTAAAAGCCGGCTGAGTGACGACTACACATCAGGCAAATAAGTAGAAAACAACATTGAAGTCAGTAGAAGAGGCTGGAACACAATCTCGACATAAACCCCAACACAGCACAGCAACTCACAACTGGGAGGGAACTTAAAACCCAGAGCATCTCCCTGAGGAGTGAAGGGTTCAAGCCCCACATCAGGCACCCCAACTTTTAAGACATGGCCTTGAGAGAAGAGCCTCCAAAACATCTAACTTTGAAAACCAAAGGGGCTTGTGTCCCAAGACCTACAAGACTATAGTGATCTGAGAAAAGGCTCTTAAAGGGCTCATGCACTTGGACTCACCTGCTCCAGGGCCCAGCTCAGAGGCAGCCAATCACACCAGACTTAAAATAAACGAGGGTCACCTACTTACATGAAGTCATCAGACTGAGGGGCAGGCATCTCATTTAACACACACTTCTATGAGCCTGTTGGAATACTTTCTGGGGATGGAGACTGGCAGGGGTCATCTTCGCACTCACCCTCTGCCGTACTCCAGAGCACCGGTGTCTCCTGGAGGGGAGCTTTACATGCATCTGGTGCCCTGGTTTTTACATACGGTGTCCCAGTTTTTGCAACTGCTGCTCAGGGGACACCCCTTGATCACCTGACTATGGCAGCTGGGGGGCTTGCATTCCTGGGTCCCATAAGACTCTGGCAATCAGAGGGACAGTTCTTGACAGGCTAGCACCCCCGGGGCACTGCACAGACAGCAGCACGCCCCCTAGCCTTTCTGTGAAGGAGGCCTCTTTGTTTGTTCTGGAGCTTTGCCCTGAGGGTTAGGCTTCAGGTCTGGCACACATTTACTGGCCTACACAGCTGCTCTCAAGGAACACAGGCTGTGGATGCCAGCTTGGTGCTCTCCCTCCGCCTTGCTAGAGCTCACCAGTATCTTCCAGGAAAGAGCTTATACACTCGGCTGAAGCCCAGATTTTTGCAAATGTTGCCCAGGGGACACTTCCATGTTGCCTGGCTCTGATAGCCAGCTGGGCTTACACTTATGGTCCCACAGGACTGTATATATTTGCATACCTTTAAAAGCTGCTGCCTGAGGCTCTGGCTTCTAGTCAGCCTGAATCTAGGTGCTGAGATCCTCCCCTTTGGGACACTGACAGGTCTTGGCACATCCTCAATGACTGGGAGCTATTAAAAATATAATAGGCTGCTTGGACAAGCACAGAGGTTTGAGAGACCACCAAGAGGTGGGGCAGGGTAGAATGACAAGGTTCATCTCCTACGTGAGGCCACTCCTTGTTGTTTCATCTACTATATAGAAACCGACACAGAGAATCAAGCAAAATTAAGAAATAGAAGAATATGTTCCAAATTAATGAACAAGATAAAAACTCAAAAAAAACCTTAATGAAATGGAGATAAGTAATTTACCTGATAAAAAGTCAAAAGTAATGGTCATAAAGATGTTCACCGAACTGGGCAGAAGACTGGTGAACACAGTGAAAACTTTAGCAAAGAGATGGAAAATATAAGAAAGTACCAAATAGAAGTCACAGAGCTGAAGAATAACTGAACTAAAAAACACACAAGAGGGGTTCAACAGGAGACTCTACAGGAAGCAGAAGAAAGGATCAGTGAACCTGAAGACACGGCAATGGAACTCACCCAATCAGAGCTGGAAAAAAAAAGGAAAGAAAAAAGTGAAGACAGCTTAAGGGACTTATGGGGAAACATCAAATGGACTAACATTCACATTAGAAGGCTCCCAGAAGAAGAGAGAGAGAAAAGGGTAGAAATCTTACTTGAAGAAATAATGGCTGAAAACTTCTCTAACCTGGGGAAGGAAACAGACATTCAGATCCAGGAAGCCCAGAGAGTTTCAAATAAGATGAGCCCAAAGAGACCCACACCAAGACACATTATAATTAAAATGTCAGAAGTTAAAGACAAGGAGAGAATCTTAAAAGCAGTAAGAGAAAAACAACTTGTCACATACATACAAGGGAACCCTTAAAACTTGCACTAGGTTTTTCAGCAGAAATTTGGCAGGACAGAAGGAAGTGGCACAATATATTGAAATTGCTGAAAGAAAAAAACATCTAACCAAGAATACTGGCAAAGTTATTATTCAGAATTGAAGGAGAGATAAACTGTTTTCCAGACAAACAAAAGCTAAAGGAGTTCATCACCACTAAACCAGCATTACACGAAACATTAAAGGGACTTCTTTAAGCTGAAAAGAAAGGGTGCTAATTAGTAACCAGAACACATACGAAAGAATAAATCTCACTGGAAAGGTAAATATATAGTAAAAGTAGAGGATTAATTACTTATAAAACTAGTATGAAGGTTAAAAGACAAAAGCAGTAAAAATAACTATGATTATAATAAAAATTAGTTGAGGGATACACAAGATAAAAAGATGTAAAATATGACATCAAAAATATAAAATGTGGGGGAAGAAAGTAAAAATGTTGAGCTTTAGAATGGGATCAAACTTAAAATAGACTGTTATAGATAAGCCTCATGTAAGCCTCATGGTAACCACAAAGCAAAAACCTATAATAAATACACAAAAGATAAATAGAAAGGAATCTAAGCATACCACTAAAGAAAATCATCAAACCACAAAGGAATAGAGCAAGAGTAGAAGAAAAGAACAGAGAGGAGCTACAAAAACAGCCCGAAAACAATTAATAAAATGGAAATAAGCACATACCTATCAATAATTACTTTAAATGTAAATGGACTAAATTCTCCAATCAAAAGATATAGAGTGGCTGAATGGATAAAAAAACAAGACTCATCGATATGCTGCCTACATAAGACTCACTTTAGATGTAAGGACACACACAGACTGAAAGTGAAGGGGTGGAAAAAGACATTCCATGCAAATGAAAACCAAAAGAAAGCTGGAGTAGCTATACTTACATCACACAAATTAGACTTTAAAACAAAGACTGTAATAAAAGAGACAAAGAAGAGCATTACCTAATGATAAAGGGGTCAATCCAACAAGAGGATATAACACTTGTAAATATTTATGTACCCAACATAGAAGCACCTAAATATACAAAGCAAATATTAACAGACCTAAAGAGAGAAACAGACAGCAATACAATAATAGTGGAGGACTTTAATACCCCACTTACATCAATGGATAGATCATCCAGACAGAAAATCAGTAAGGAAACATTGCTTTACATGACACATTAGACCAGATGGACTTAATAGATATATAAAGAACATTCCATCCAAAACTATCAGAATACACATTCTTGTCAAGTGCACATGGAACATTCTCCAAGATAGAGCATACATTAGACCACAAAATAAGTCTTAATAAATATAAGAGGACCAAAATCATATCAAGCATCTTTTCCAGCCACAAGGGTATGAAACTAGAAATTAATTACACAAAGAAAACGGGAAAATTCACAAATATGTGAAGATTAAACAATATGCTACTGAACAACCAGTGGGTCAAAGAAGAAATCAAAAGAGAAATAAAAAAAAATAGCTTGAGACAAATAAAAATGGAAATGTAACATATCAAAATTTATGGGATGTAGCAAAAGCAGTTCTAAGAGGGAAGTTAACAGTGAAGTTCACAGTGACAAACGCCTACCTCAAATAGAGAAAAGTCTCAAATAAACAACTTAACTTTACACCTCAAGGAACTAGAAAAAGAACAAATGAGGCCCAAAGTTAGTAGAAGGAAGGAAATAACAAAGATTAGAGCAGAAATAAATGAAATATAGACAAAAAAGAATAGAAAATATCAGTGAAACTAAGAGCTGATTCTTTGAAAAGATAAACAAAATTGACAAACCTTTAGCTAGATTCATCAAGAAAAAAAGAGAGAGGACTCAAGTGAATAAAATCAGAAATGAAAGAGTGGTATTACAACTGATACCACAGAAATACAAAGGATCATAAGAGACTACTATAAACAATTGTATGCCAACAAATTGGACAACCTAGAAGAAACAGATCAATTCCTAAAAACATACAACCTACCAAGACTGAACCATGATGAAATAGAAAATCTGAACAGACGGACTGCTAGTAAAAACCTACCGAAAAACAAAAGTCCAGGACCGACGGCTTCCCTGATGAATTCTACCAAACATTCAAAGAAGAATTAATACTTATCCTTCTCAAACTCTTCCAAGAAACAGAAAAGGAGGGAACTCGTCCAAAGTAATTTTACAAGGCCAGCATTACCCTGATACCAAAACCAGACAAGGATGCCACAAGAAAAGAAAATTACAGGCCAATATCCCTGCTGAACATGCATGCAAAATCCTCAACAAAATATTATCAAACCAAATTCAACAGTACATTAAAAGGATCATACACTAAGATCAAGTAGGATTTATTCCTGGGATCAAAGATGGTTCAACATCTGCAAATCAGTCAATGTGATATACCACATTAACAAAATGAAGGATAAATCACACAGAATATTGTTTTAAATGACCTTAAAACTGTCAAACCACCACTGTCAAAAGCTTGCCTGCTCCCCCAACTGCTTCCGTCAGTTTCACTTCATCAAGATCACCTCCTGAACATGAAATGTAATGCCAATCCTCCAAGACTCCTCCCTCTCACCCAGCACTGTTGTGTTTTCAGAGACAAATATAACATAGTGAACTCTGATTCTTGGAAATGGGATCATAATAGCATGGTGATTTGAAAATGGCCATATGTAATAAAGAATGTGAATATAATATATTCAACCCTAAAACTCTACTGAACATAACTAAAGTTTCTCAAGTGAGTCAGATGGTTCTTCAGGACCTCACAAGTACTTCTGGTTATCATTATCCTATCCATGAATCAAAAGTGATGCTTAATAAAATTCCAGAGGAAAGACAACTAACACAGAGGAGAGTCCCCATAAAACCATTCCTGCTTGCTTTGTTTTCTGTCCACACCTTCCACTAGACTCTAGACCAAGGTTTCTCAACCTTAGCACTACTGCCATTTAGGGTTGGATAATTCTTTGTTGTTGGGGCTTCCCTGTGCATTCTAGGATGTTTAGCAGCACCCCTGGCCTCTACCCACTAGATGCCAGGAGCATCCCCCACCCACAGTGTCTCCAAATACTGCCAAATATCCCCTGGGGGATGAAACTGCCCCCAGTTGAGAACCACTGCTCTAGACTCAAATAATATTTGCTAACTAGAAGTTCAAAAGACAAAATAAATAATGATAATAAAATGATGGCCTTTAAGAAAAAAGATCTGTTTTAACAAGAGATGATTAACCACTAAAAACTGAATAAACTTCTCTGCATTCTGATGAAAGATCTAGAGGGCAAAAGTAAGAAAGCAGTCTGAAACTCCATAGGGGCATTGAATCAAATTCTAGAACAGATGATCAAGAAATCAGAACATCTGAAAGCCATGAATGATACTGAGACAATGAAAAAGAAATATGATTTTAAATGTATTTAAAACACAGTAAAGGGGCCAGCCCGGTGGCACAAGCGGTTAAGTGCGGGTGCTCTGTGGCAGCCCGAGGTTCGCCGGTTCGGATCCCGGGCGCACACCAATGCACCGCTTGTCAAGCCACGCTGTGGCGGCATCCCATATAAAGCAGAGGAAGACGGACATGGATGTTAGCCCAAGGCCAGTCTTCCTCAGCAAAAAGAGGATTGGCAGATGTTAGCTTAGGGCCGATCTTCCTCACACAAAAAAATAAATAAAATAGAACACAGTAAAAGGCACAGACGTGAAGTGAATTTAATGCTAATAATTTCATAGAACACTAGAATATACCATTAAATAAAAATGCTATTTGTGGTAATAGAAAGGAGAAAGGAATTGAGAATAAGTCACAGGAAATTTCAAATATTAAATCTAATAAATAAATGTTTTGACCATTGCCAATAAAGCCTAGGATTTCACTTTTGTAGGGAAAAATACCACAGCATTCCCACTGTGTCCACTATTATTTTTAAAATCACACTCTCCCAAAAAGAACGTACTATAACTCAGTTTTACAGAATTGTTTCCACTTTTTACATAGTTTTGGTAATTTGGCATTTATCAAGATTTATACTTTGACACATCTAAGTGATTAATAAGCTTAGTAAGGTCAAGAACCATTATTCACTTCCCCAATAAAGGCAGTAAAAATATAGGCCACAGATTAAAAAAAAAAAAATCAACAGAGCACAGATAACCTCTTTCGAACTGGGGCCATGTGACGCAGGCTTCCAAGTAAAGGCCGCTCTTCCAGAGTCCAGCATTCTATCAGCTCGTGGGGCACCCGCCAGTAGCTAACACCTGGAAGATAAAAACACATAATGAAGAGAGCCACTGTCCACTGCAGAAGGTTCAGCAACACTGTTTCATATAAGACTGGCCAGAAAAAGTTTCAGGTCCATGCCTCCCATTTGACAAAAGGTGCACACAGGAAGTGCTCCCACGAAGAGCCAGGCCAGTAGTGGCGCAGCCATGACCTGGGTCTAGGAAGAGCTGGCTACCAGCCCTGGCTCTGCCACTGACAATCAGCAAGTCGTTATATGGGCCCTGGGCAGCTGAGTGTGTGCTGGTTAAGGGTACAGGCTCTGGAGCCAAGACTACCTTGGTCTGAATCCCACTTCTGTCACTCACTAATCATGTGACCTTGAGAAAGTTACTTAACTTTTCTGTGCCTAAATTATCCCATCTGTGAAATGATGACAACAATAGTACATACACCTCGTAGGATTGTTGTGATGATTAAATGAGTAAATAAATGCAAACTGCTTAGAGCAGGGCCTGGCACAGACTAAGCACTCAAGCGATGTTAGGTGCCTTTATTATAAGTCATAGTGTCAGTAATAGTGTAAGGATTGGACAGTGGGGGTTCTAACACTTCCTCTGTCTATCTCACTGGGTTGCTGTGACCATCAAATCAGGTAAATTTTGTGAAGTGCCCTGTAAGAGGCAACCACTATGTGAACATGAGATATCACTACCCTATAAGCACCTTTCAAACAAGAATAATTTGAGTTAATGTGTTAGGCCAAGATTCCAGTCAAATTCATTTTAATTTTTAAATCTGATATGTTTCTGATTGAAAGTTATATTCTTATGAACCTTGAAAACATTATGCTAAGTGAAAGAAGCCAGATACAAAAGGTCATATATTATATGATTCTATTTATATGAAATATCCAGAACAGGCAAATCCATAGAGACAGAAAGCAGCCTGGTGGTTGCCAGGGGCTGAGGGGAGAGCAGAATGGGGAGTAAGTGCTTAATGAGTATTGGGTTCCCTTTTGGGATGATGAAAATGTTTTGGAACTAGATAGACATGGTGGTTACACAACATTGTTAATGTAGTAAATGCCGCTGAAATGTATACTTTAATTAATTCTATGTTATGTGAATTTCACCTCAATTTTTAAAAAAGGACCATAAAAAATGAGATAGACACATTTAAAAACCTTAATGTTTTTCGAATGATGTTGAATAAAAATGGCTTGGCATTAAAAAAAAAAGTAACCTTTAAGTCCCAAGAACGGACTTGATATCTTCTTTCTTAATCATTAAAGGTCTAGTAATAATAACCAATTTAGCAAGCGGGGAATAAAAATTATTACAGTAACAGATATGTCCAATACTCAAAGAAGTCTATGGACCTCATTTTAAGACAGTAACTTTCTGGAACTGCTTGATCATGCTCCCAAACCTACTCATGCTACAAAAACATTTCCAAATCTCATCCATTAAGTTTTTTTGGTCAGGTTTACTGAGATATAATTTACATAAAATAAAATTCACCCTTTCTAAGTATACAATCCAGTAAGTTTTGACAAATGTATACAGTCATGTGACCATAGCCACAATCAAGATATAGAACACTGCTATCACCCCAAAAGTCCCAGTGTACCCCTTTGCAGCCAATATCCTCCCTACTATTCCCTAGCATTGCCTTTTCCAGAGTGTCATTTAAATGGAATCATACAGCGTGTAGCCTTTTGTGTCTGGCTTCTTTAGCACAATGGTTGAAGATTCATCCGTGTTGATATATGTATCAATGATCATTTCTTTTTACTGCCGAGTAATATTCACATTTTGTGGATATACCATAATTTGTTTAAAAACTTTCATCTTTTTCCTGCCTATAAAGTAATTCACATTCATTGTACAAAACTTGGAAAATTTCGAAAAGTATATATAAGAAAATCAAAATCACTTCTAATCCTAAAACTAGGAATCACAGCTCATGACATTTTGATGTATGTCATTCCAATCTTTTTTCTATTCATATGATATGCACATAATTGAAAACATTTTACATTTAATTTTGTTTCCTGCTTTTGATCATTTCTTATTTTATCATTTCTTATTTCTATTTTATCACAGGCATTCATCCATGTAAAAAATTATTCAAAATAATTTTAATAGCTATATCCCATCTATATCCCAAGGATGTGCCAGTATGTATTTAACCTTCTATTGTAGACATTTAGGTTGTTTTTATTTTTTCCCTATTATGAATAATGCTTAATTGAACATTTCTGTTCATAAGCCTTTGTCTCCATTTGATTATGTCCTTAGAGTAGATTTCTAGAAGTAGAATTACTGGGTCAAAGAATATGAACAATTTTGATGCTATTGATATATACTAACTGATAAATTATTTCCCAAAAAAGTAATATTAATTTTTACTCCTGCCAAGAATGCATGAGAGATCTTTACTAGTCTGGTATATAAAAAAATAGTTCTCATTTAATGTATATTTCATTGACAAAATGAGTTTGAACCTTCTGCCACGTTTCCATTTCTGGGAATTTTATGGTCATCACCCTTGAACATTTATTTATAGTAGGGGTTGAGTTGATTTTCTAATCAATTTAAATAAACCCTCTCTATATTAAGGATATTCTTCATCTGTTAATGTAACATTTTTATCCAAGTTTTTTATTAGTCTTTTAACTTTATAATTTTTTATGTTTTAAGGTTAATATATTAAATATTATGTAATCAAATTTATTAATCTTTGTCTTTATGATTTATTTTAAGCTTATAATTTCTTTCTCTAGTGAGAAATCAGTTATTTGCTTACATTTCATTATAGTTTATTATAGTTTCATTTTTCATTCATAAATCCACCTGGGATCATTTTGATAAATGATGTGAGGCTAAAGTTCTGTTTTCTCTCCCCAAGCATATTTCTCAATTACTTATTAAATAATCTATCCTTTTTTCATTGATATTTAATACTTTCTTATCACACAGTATTTTTATTCTTGTAACTTTATTGGGATTTCCTCTTGATCTTTGCATCTATTCTTATACCAGAAACACACTGTTTTTATTATTATAGATCTAGTAAAGGATTTTTACTACCAAACAGTTAGACTCATCCCACTAATGACTTCTATTTCCCAAGATGTTCTTGGCTATTTTATCTGTTTACTCTTTCAAAGGAATTTTAGAATCATTTCTTCAAGATTTCCAAGAGTTCCACTGATATTTTGGTAGGAATTGTGTTAAACCTATAATTTAATCTAAGAAGAACTGATATTCAGATTTCCCGTTCAGGATCATGGTATGTCTCACCATAATCTTCATGTCTTCTTTTTTATAGATGGATGGATGGGTGGATAAATAAATTTTAGCAGTTTTCTTCAAAAAAGACCCAAGCATTTCTTGGTAGGGCAGTCTTAGTTATTTGTTGTTTATTGTTATCATGAATGGGATTGTCCCCTATAATTTCTAATTAATCTATCATAAGTAAGCTGCTGATCTTCGTTTACTTATATTGTATCCAGCTAGTTTAGTCTACTGAACTCATCATTTAAAATAACTTTAGTTGATTCTTTGGGTTTTCTATAAAGACATATTGCCCACAAATAACAATAGCTGTCTTCTTCTAATAGTTCTGTCTCTTACTTCTGTTTCCTGCCTTACGGCTTTCCACAGGCCCTCCAGAACTTTGTTAAATAACAATGATACTCCATTACATGCTTTCTAAAAAGTTAAAATCAGTCGCACGCTTTGTAAAAGTCAGTGATTCCAGCTCTGCACTCCAGCTTCCTGAGTCAGTGGAGAAAGAAACCCAGCCAGGGCCCTCAAAGCTTCCTGGGCAGCCTGCCAGTCTAGAGGCACAAAAGGAGACACAGAGAACACCATGGGGTTTGTTCCTCAACTTAAGCCTAAGTGTCTCAAAGTCAATTAAATCTAACTTTTTATTTTTTATTTTTTTTTTGTGAGGAAGATCAGCCCTGAGCTAACATCCATGCTAATCCTCCTCTTTTTGCTGAGGAAGACCAGCTCTGAGCTAACATCTATTGCCAATCCTCCCCCTTTTGTTTCCCCAAAGCCCCAGTAGATAGTTGTATGTCATAGTTGCACATCCTTCTAGTTGCTGTATGTGGGACGCGGCCTCAGCATGGCCGGAGAAGCAGTGCATCGGTGCGCGCCCGGGATCCGAACCCGGGCCGCCAGTAGCGGAGCACGCGCACTTAGCCGCTAAGCCACGGAGCCGGCCCAATTAAATCTAAAATAATAAGCTCTTTAAAGAGAGGAGCACTTTCATTACACTTCATCCTAGATGCTTGGCGGTGTGATATGAAAAGAAAAAGGAGGAAAAGTGAGGGAGGCAAATGGAGGAAAGGAAGAAGGGTTGGTACTAGCACTCCGCCTGAAGGAAGAACAGCTGATGGAGAGTTTTTAAAAGCCTCTTCCTCTCCTTTTATTCAACCTATGTGACTTGCAATGTCTGTCTCTACCAGCTTTCAAGAGCATTTGAGAAGTGAGATGTATCTTATCTCTCTTTGGACCCAATTTTAGGACTTATTATAGTGCTTGCACCTAACAGACACTCAATACATGCTTGTTAATTAAGAAAAAAATACTTTGGCATGGAACAGTTAACCCTCTGTGATCCTTAAGCAAGTGGCACGGCCTCCCTAAGACTCAGTTTCCTCATCAATAAAATGGTAAACAGCATTCAGGGTTGTTTCAGGACTGAGAGATACTGAATGCAAACTACTTACCACACTGGACATTAAACGGCATTATTATTATCAACTCACTTAAGCAGCTTGATAAAATGGTCACATTTCAAAGTGTGCATTTAAAGATTACTTTAACTGTTTTCTAAGGGCTCCTTAGACATCTTCCCCAGCATTACTTTCATTTTCTCTCTTTTTTTTGATGATACATTTTATGCTTAATTTAGAGGTATACTTCCTAGGACAATGCCAGGTACAACGTAGGTGCTAAATGAACTCTTGTTTAATTGAACTAAATAAGCATCACCAACAGAAGTGTATTTTAGGTTACTGACTTATAAACTAGCAATAATATCTAGCAACTCATGGAGTTTAAAGGTTTGTAAGTAAACTGCTTTAATGCTACTATGAGGTGACAAATACCTTAACCCACCAAAAAAATATTTTCTCAAAAAAAGAAATGCAGTATTTGAGCTTACTTTGTCTTATTAAGGAAAAGTCTACCTCCTGCCATGAAATAAAAGAATTGTACTGTACCTTTTCCTTCCCAGGCATCAAAGGCATCCATCATTTTCTTCAATTCTGCTACTGAATAATAGCTCCAAATGTATTGAACATTATTTCCCGCCTCTCTAGAAATATTGCAAAAGGTAATGAAAATACACTATCTAGGTAAGAACATGAGCATGCATATATATATATCATAGACACTCAAGTGCTTGTTAATAAAGGAAAAAAATATGCAGGCATTGAGTAGTTGTTCTTCTGTGACCCCTAAGCATATAAATATAGATTATATTCTATACTATATGAGTATAATATATTATACTCATATGCTAACCTACATTTGACCTCTTTTTACTGTGGTAAAGTATTTGTTAATTCCACAGTACAGACCATGCAGACAAATCAACAAATCTTTAAAATAAGTTTTCTAAAAGATCACCTAACTCCAGTAAAGTTAGAGAAGATTTAACTTTGAATAAAACTTTCCTAGCACTGTGCCAGGCATTTACATCTTATACAGAAACATCCCTGCCCGTAAAGAACTCAGAAAACGAGGACACATTTAATCATCGAAAAATCCAGCTCCTGTGGTCATGCATTAGTCACTAATATATGACCCAAGCCAGTCTCCCAGAGAATTAAAAAAAAAATTTGCTAAGTGAATTGACCAGTGTAAATAAGATTACAGGAATAATATTAAGAGAACAGCACTTACAAATTTAACATGTTCAAGTCACAGAATTTAACGGTAGGAGCAACCAGGGAAGTCCTTTATCATTTCTCAGAACAGGACACTAGGGCACAGGTCACTCAGGGAGCCTGCTGACTTTGAGGCCCATGTTTCTGCCTCTGGACTATGGTCTACAGGAGATACCCAGGCCTATGACTTTTCTTTCTTTCTTTTCATTGTTTAGAAAGCCTCTCAGGGGATTCTGATGTCCACTCCCAGCTGAGAACCACTGTAAAAGACCATATAGATGGCCTTTAGCTTATATATAAGTGGAATGGTCTTAACTACAATCTTCTCATAAAGCAGGCCTATCTCGACAGCTACAAGGGCTCACTCTGTCGTGAAAGGTGTTGAGAGTCTTTTCTAGTCAACCACGTATTCCATAACACCTCTTAGAAGAGACCAAGACTTTATTTTGATCCTTTTCATATTTAAATATGGACATACCTTTTAAAAATGCTTTTACTGTGAATTCTTCCTCCCAGCTGCTTATCAATAGCATCTGTTCCATCAGTTTTTGTGGAATATACACCAATAATTCTACTCTCGCAGCTTGCACCAGACGTGTTAAGATAGTGGAGAACCCAAACTGTTGGTTTATTGCAAACTAAACCATACGAATCACAGAAGTCTGTTAAAGCCTGGAGCAAAAAAATATATAAAATTTGAATTTAATTCTGGAGTAAAGTAAACATGAATTTGCTCTATTACTTTCATGTAAAGCTGGAATTTCAGTTGGTCATAAGGGAAATAAAAAGATTATAAATTTCAGCCTAGTCTTTATGCCTTTAAAAACCACACATGCATTTGTGAATTTGGTGGGGGCACAAATCACAAAAAGTACCACCCAATGGAAATTATATTTTATTTCCTCCTCCTATAGCCTCACTACCAACATTTTTAATTTTAAAATGTTCATATAATAACCAAAAGTTAGACCTTTTTCTTTTCCCTTTATTTCCTCCCAAATTTCCCATTTGATTCAATCCTCCTTTCACCACCTACTGACTAGGCAGCCCCATAGTTGATGCTTATTTTTAACTCCAAATCCAATCATGGGTTAACCAGATTAACTTGTTCTTTTACATTGAAAGATATGAATATATGAATTCAATACACACTGTCTGATTCATTTGGCATTTATCCACCCAGTCATTCATTCACTTGAATATTAAGTACCTACTATGTGCCGAGCGCTGTCTGAGCACTGTCCTAGAGCGACAATGGTGAGCAAGAGATAGGGGCACAGCCCTCCTAGAGTTTATAGCTAATGCAGAAGACAGACATTAAATAAGCCGTCAGCACACAGTGTAAAAAGTGTTGCCAGTGGACCTATGAGGTGCCAAGGGGCACGCAGCAGGAGGGCTTCACCCAGTGAAGTGGCAAGGGCCTTCCTTGGGAGAAACGGCATTACCACTGTGAGCGCCCTGAGGACAGGCACTTTTGTCCGTTTTGTTTTGTATCGCAAGTGCCTGGAATAGTGCCCGACACCAAGGAGATGCTTAATACTTACTGACTCAGTGAATGAAAACAGGACCCTATCGTGATTTGCATTTTCATTTAACGTTGCTATCCAACTCCTGTATTCGTTTTTAACTTTCCTTGCTCATCTATGAGAATTCCCAACTATATTATAAACTGTTCAAGGGCAAGAACTGTATGCTGTATTTCCTTGCACTCCACACAGTCCCTCGAACAGCACTCCATATGCCAAAAACATTTGAAATAAACATGTGTTGGCTGACAGAATGAATGTACGCTTGCTATGTCCTTTCTGCCTACAAACCAGGAATAAAAGACTACAGAGCTAGGACTTCAGAAGATGAGTGCTAACCCACCTCAACCTTCCAGACACGCTTTTTTAGCCCCATTCCGCAGACAGGGTGAACAGCACCAAAAGACTGACAACTCAATTTATAAACAACTTCAGTAGCAGAACCCATACAACTATGCAAATTCCTGACAGGGATCTGGAACCAAATCCACTTTCTCCTCATGCTGCTCTCCTAATAACCATACTGTCAACTTGTCTCCTAAACACTGACATCCAAATCAAAGAATTCAAACCAATTCAGGTCAGTTTTCACTATTAACAGTTATCTAGGAAAAATATTTTGCTTAGATGCCCAAAGATATATAATTAATAGCAAATATAACACTTATCAATAAGACAAAAATAAATAATGAAGCTTTTCAAGTCATGTAAAGATATTTAAAATGTGATTTAAAATAGAAGCATCTTAAAAAAAGATTTATAGATCTCCAAGTGAATTAATCAAACTGATGTTTTAACTTAGTAAAAAACTGCTACACTCACTAAATCAGCTAAGAGATTTTATACAATCTTTCATTTATCATGATCATTCTTTTAAAAGATCATTTCAGTAAACAAAATAATACCACTATACCCTCACATATTACAGTATGGCTCTTAATTTAAAAAGAACTTCAAGAGCAGAATAGTTCTATAAAAAAAGCCATCAAAAAGTGTTAAACCTTCAGTGAGGAATAAAAACTCCATAAACCTTTGAGTGGGGCTATAATACACTTTCCTAGAATAGAATTTTGGCCTTAAAAAATGAGTAGTAGTAATTAACAAATGTGTCTTCAAAAATTATCAAAAGTAAAACTGTCTCATATTTGGCTTATATGATAACACAAGCTATGCAAAATAACACATTGCTTTGTGCATAATAAATGTATATATATATATGTATACATATATATATTTTAAAACTTAAGAAAATGCCAAGACCTTTTTAAGTTCTATATTTGACCTTAAAGAATATGTCTCCATTTCATTGGCCAAGTGGTCAGACAGGCTGTACGGATAAGGGATGCCAAAGTAATCAGCCTCTTCCTGCAGAGCAACACGGGTTTGCTCATCTGTGGGAAGGTGAACTTCTCCGTGAAGATAATCCAAAAGGTATTTAAATAGATGTCCATCTCGGTCAATAACACAAGCCCCTAGAAGACATTCAGTTCAAAAATGATTACAGAGATACATTATGACCACAATAAATCTTCAACATGTCCAACTAAAATCAGACTGAGGACCTCTACAATTAGAAATGTTTCTTTCTCACAAGAAAGTTAATATCTAGTGTTCAAACAGGTTTAGTCAAATTTAGTAATCCTCTGTATTCTCACCTACCATACAGGAAAGGTATTCTAAGCTCCATTTTGAATTTTGGATGCAATGACCATATTCCCACTACAGTTACTGCAAAAGCCATGGAGACCTCAGCCTCCTGGTAGAAACAAGCTTACTCCTAACCTCAGCCCAGCTGGGCCAGGAAAGGTGTATGGAGTCCCTGCCCGAGGAGGGCATGCGAGGTGCTTGTTACCGTGTCCAGTGTTTGTATGTCAGCGACACTACACATTAGCTTCAGGCTTCTTAGCTCCAGGCATGCCATAAGCTTGGACTTATTAGCTCAATCCCTTTGTACTGTATGAACGTAAACCTTAAAAAAGAAATGCTATGCTGGTACTACTTGATGATAAAAGCCTTTTTTTTAGACAATTTAGCAGAATCAAAAAAAAAAGAAAACACTTCTTTCTGAGGTTACTCAATAATTCCTTTTCTCCTTTGATTAGTTGAGAAAAGAAGGGATTAAGAAGGTGAAACTGGGAGGCAGAGAACAAAACAAAAACTCAATCTCTGCTTACCATCTTTTACCAGCAACCTTTCTGCCCAGGTGGACTCAAGCCATGGGCACCCGCCATTGGAGAGTTTTCCATTCTTTCAACTGCCCTGCAGCTGGCAAAGTGGTCTCTCAAGACCCAGGGTTGCTAACAGCCCCTCAGGCTCATGACTCCTCAATCCCGCTCCTCTAACACAGAAGCAAGAGGGGGTTGTGTGAGCCCCAGACCCCTAACATGTGCAAAAAGCCATACTTGGGTTGCTGAAGTTTCTTTACAACCAGTAGTAGGTTCAGTGAACCTCAGAGCACTCGAAGCAGAGACAGCAGCCCCAGAACCCTGCCCTTGTATTTTACAGAGTCTTCTGAAACACCAGTTTTCAGTCCTCTACCCCAGGTCACCGACGGTCGCTGACATGACTGCCCTGACATTTTCTCAGGCATCCATGGGAGCACACAAGACTACACAGCCAGACTAGGCCGCAAGTTTAACACTAATTCTACATGCACAATGACTGCCTTGTCAGCCATGAGGGCAGCTTTCTCAGAGAAACACATTTAACTGGAAGAACACAGAGAGAAGCTAACATATTTAATCAGCCTCAATACTTTTACTCATGGAGCTGCATGAATGTTAACAACTTTCAAAATATAATTAATCCCCATAATTAGGTCATGGCTGGCCTTTATGCACATTTGCTTTTTTGTAACTTTTAGCAACAGCATCATAGATTCTAGAAACTGGTATTTAATTTCTCCGTGTACTTAAACAATCTCCATACAGTCCTAAGGATCTCGGTAATTAATATACTAACCTAACACATTCCATTGTAATTCGGAAAATCAAGGAATTTAAACTAGACTATCTTAATAATATTCATGATCATGCTTACAGGCTTTAGATATTTACCTGATTCATCTGTTTTTAGAGGAAAACGACCACTGAACATGGATGCCAGCATCGAGTCCTTAAAGCGGCACAAGGACTCACGCCTGGCTGTGTAAATACAGCCCCCTACGTTCAGCCGAAGAATATCTAACGCCTCTTCTTCTGCCTTGTGACTTTCCATTGCTCCCACCGACAACAAATTTTTGTTTCAAAACACTTTCAGAAACTGCAGAACAATGGCTGCCCAGTCCCCCTCTGTAAAAAAAAGACAATCACCACCGATATTTCCAAGAGTACACTAAACAGATAATAAAATAAATACATTTTAATGTGATTTAAAATAGATTCCTCAGCACTATTGAGGAACAATAGTGAAATTCCTCAACAATATTGAATTGAAGGATTTTATATAATATGAAAGAAGTTTGAGATATGCTGAGAAGCTGGAAAACTTTGGCTCAGAGGATTTGTAAATGATAATAAACTATTACCAACCAAATCATAGCTGTTGAAATGACTGTTTCAAGAACTAAAGAAGATAATGCAAAGGTGAGGTGTGTTTATGATCTTCGACATTCACATATCTTTTTAAACTACAGTAAGTCTGAGGGAGCTGTCTAGCCTGCAGAGGCGATCGCATGTAGCATGGAATCGGGCTACCAGGCTCAGGCACTTACCAGCTCTGGGACCTGGGGCAAACACTTAACCATCCTCATCTGCCTGTTTCCTCATCTGTAAAATGACGAAGAAGGAATGGTGCCTACCTCAAAGGACTATCAGAGGAATAATTGATAGAACATATAAAAAGCATATAGAACAGTGTCTGGCAGAGTAAGCACTCGATAAATGATAAATATTATCTATAATGATATAAATTTTACCATTAGGTCTATATTGAGGGACTTGATATTGGCTCTAGAGATTCAAGGAAATATAAGAGCAGAAATTACTAATGATGGTAATTGTAATTCTTAAGTTAGGTAACTAAAGAATAAATAATTTATCAACTGAGATCAGAATTCTATGTATACCAGTAGCCAGACTGGTCCAGAAGAACAACAAACAACACCTCTAAAGCATCTGGCTTCTTCACTCTAAAATGGCTGAAGCTTTAGGGAAGTTTTAAGGATTTGATTTCTTAATCCATTCTGGAGACAGATGAACCTCAGGTGACAGTGGCATTTCTATGGAACCTAAAACAATACTATGATGAAAAAGGTATTCCCAATGTATCTGCACATTTCACAGCAAGAATAAGATGGCTCTCAAAATGCTCAACTACATCCATGGCAATTCACGCTTACTACGCAATCAACTAAGATCCTTTCATAGATGCTCCAATTTAGCCAGTCTCCAATGAAATGGGAGGAGACCGTCGGAGTCTAAGTTGAAGGCCATGTATGTCAAACATGGTCATTGGACAGACTCTATTACGGACCAACAGTCCAGCCTTCAAAAACCCACTTATGGGCGGCCAACCTGGTGGTGTAGTGGTTGGGTTCAGGTGCTCTGCTTCGGTGGCCCAGAGTTTGTGAGTCTGGATCCCAGGCGCAGACCTACACACCACTCATCAAGCCATGCTGTGGCGTGTCCCACGTATAAAATGGAGGAAGATGGGCACAGATGTTAGCTCAGGACTCAGGTCTTCCTCAGCAAAAAGAGGAAGACTGGCAATGGATATTAGCTCAGGGCTAACCTTCCTCACCAAAAAAAAAAAAAAAAAAACCCCACTTATGGATGTGACTTCTTGTACTGCCTAGAAGTCCTAGGAGCAGCCCCACAGTGTCCTGTGTGAGAGAATCACCTCTGAGGCACGGGGTGAAACTGGTTCATGCTGCCCCAGTCAAAGCTCCCTGGAATCCTATCTATTCTTCAAAGCTGCAGACAAACCTCACCACGTGCCTGACCTTCCCAAGCACCCCCAGTTAGAATACTTGCACAGTTCCCCAAATATACTCTGTACCTGTGTCCACACTGCACCCCCCCCCCCCCGTGTTTAATCCCTGGTTTGGGGGACTGTAAGGCCCAGGAAGGCAGGGCCTGTATCACTCTTAGTAATTCCCACTTACTGCAGGCTTCCTGTGCTGGACACTGTAGGAGACACTTGACAGACATTACTACCTAAGGCACACAAAGCCCCACTGGACGGGAGTTACTGTCCCTACCGACAGACGAGGACTCTGGGGAAAGAGAGAGGGTGACGTGTGCAGGGCCCACCAGGGCTGCCCGGGGGGTACGCGGCGGAGGCAGCCCCCGCGGGGCAGCAGGACCCACTCCAGGTCTTCCCGCGGCACCCCTCGCCTGGCTCAGCACCGCCTCACCCCTGAGGCTCCCGACCCGGCACCCGCCCGTCTGAAGACCCCTGCTGGCGGCAGCAGGGACACAGCAGCCCCGAGAGCCCCTGCCCGAGTCTCTCCTGAGGCGGAGGACCGTCACCACTCCCAGGCCAGTCACGGGGCCAATCCTCAAATGCACCCGCTTAGGCTCCCTGCTGTGTGGGAAGCGCCCTGCCCTCTGGGGAAGTGTCCCCAAAGTGCGGTCCTGTGACCACCTGCATCAAACCCTCAGGGGCGCTTGCTGCAAATGCAGATTCCGGGCCTCGGCACAGGGTCCGGGTCAGAAGTCTGAGGAGGGGTCCGGAGTCCGCCCGCGGGCCCCACTTCGAGAAACTGCTCAGGAGACTCGCGTTCCTCCCCCGACGGGGGACGAAAGGGGAGGGGCTGGGACACCAGAAAGCCCGGCCGGGGTCTCCCCGCGGCCCGGGGACCCCCAATCGGCCCGAAACCCGAGCCTGCAGCCCGGGGCGCCCGTGTTATCACCGCGGCCCGGGCCCTTCCTCGGGGCGCCCCGCCGCCTCCCGGGCCC